CACTCACTCACTCACTCACTCACACTGAGGGGAAAATGATGAAATATGCTTTCAACTGGATCAAAAGCTCAAATAAGGAAGTGTCAACAGCTCAGAAATGAGAACAGGGCAAAAGAGGGTCATGTCTCCATCTTTCAATTCAGACTCCCTAATCCGATATCCTTCTCCGGGAATTTGCAACCCTAAACGCCCATGTTCACACAGATGATTCCCCCTGATGGCCTTGAGGTTATGGGGGTTTTCCTGCTCATGGATCAGAGAGTAAACACAGAAGGTGTGCCCAATCCTCAGGAGAGGTTGCCTGTTCCTTGTTGAAGGCAGCCACCTCTCCAGAGTGGCTCAGGGTCCGCTTTCCTCAAGAGGCCTCTGCAGGTTTCTCTTGTTTTCATTTTAAGGTTCATGGAATTGTGAACTCATTGTTTTCTCCTGGAAGAGCTTGTTGTTCAATGCACCTCTATTATGATACTGGGAACCTGGGTGGGAGGGGGGCGGTAACTTAAGCAGAAAATCAGCCCCAAATGCTCAGAAGTCTGTCTGTACCCTGTAACTCCCATGCCTTTCTGTTAGAGTTCTGACTCTGCTAGGTGTTGGGCTGCAAGCTACATTTATTTTCCCATTTAACTCTCTCCACAGCTCTAGGAGGTAGGTGCGGTCAGCTCCATTTTATAGGTGAGGAAACTGAGGCTGGGAGAGTGGGAAGCATCTTGCCCAGAGTCATTGGCTGAGCTGGGTTGGGAACTCAGTGCTGTCTGATTTCTCAGGAATGGGAAGGCTGCAGAGAACATGAGCAGGCACTTTCTGAACTGAAGACTCTGTGACGTAAACTTGCTCTTGAAGTTAAGGGCACCGAAGCCAGACAGCCCCAGATGAGTCTTGACGTCACCTCTTCTTAGATGAGATGACCCTTGCCAGATGACTGTCCTTCCTGAGGGTCAGTGTCCCCACAGTGTTGCTTGAAATGGTATAAAGTTCTAGTGTCTCATAAAAAGCTTTTATTAGCAGAACTGTAAATGTAGGTGGGAAGATTAATCTCCAAAGTAAGTGGAACTTACCTTAAGGACACTCTGCTTTAAAAAAATATATTTTTGGGCTCGCCGGGTGGCTCAGTTGGTTAGACCACGAGCTCTGAGCAACAGGGTCGTCGGACAATGGGACACGCAGCACCTGTGGCTTCAAGAAAAGGTTGTTGAGTTTCCAACGCCAGGGCCTTTGACAAAAATGGTAGTGACAGCGGACAAATCAGTGCTCTCCGGTGGGTTTGGGAGGGTGAGGCTCCCAAAGGGCAGCAGGAGGGTGTTTGGGGAGTAAGGGGACGGTTCAATATCCTGATTATTATGGCGATAACTTAAAACTGTACGTGGGTTAAGATTCAATGAACGACACACCTAAAAATAAAAGGTCAAATTTACTGGGTGTCCGGGTGGCTCAGTTGGTTAGAGCGTGAGCTCCGAGCAACAGAGATTCTGGTTCAATTCCCACATGGGCCACTGAGTTGTGTCCTGCACAACTAGATTGAAGACAACGACTTGAGATGAGCTGCCGCTGCGCTGCCAGTGGGCAGC